CCACTCGGTCTCATAATGATCGCAAACCGATTTACCGTGCGCGAGTTACCTAATGAACTGCGACATCGAAGCTCTCTCGTAGTCTATTTTATAAAAATTAAACTAAACTGAAATTATCGTCTTGCGTGATTCATAAAAGTTCTCTCGTGTAGCGACCGAAATTGGTGATTCTCGTGTCAGCAAGCACATCGGTGATTTTAAAGCTTCGGTGTTTAAAATTTTTCGCATAAATCTTCATCTATGATGGTATACGTTAATATGATAGCATTCGAAGAATGAATATTTAGAGTAAATTTTATATAGTGCAGAAGAACGTAAACATTTTGAACTCTGTAGAGCTCAACGTAAGTTCGAAGGCAAATACTGATTTATCAATGTTTTTCAATTTTATTTTTATCGTTTTATTTTTATTATTATGTCGTATCTTTTTCTGTTGTTTTCCCTTCAGAATCAAAGAGTTTGCGCAATGGAATTCTTAAATCTTAGTGCAAACATCAGCGTAAATACACCTTTTTAAAACTTGCAAATGAATTGTTTATTTATATGTAAAGATTGCGTTACGATAATAAATGTCCTCGGGTTGCATCAATTATTTTGATCTTATATAAAAATGTCTGATTACAGAGAATTAAAGGAATAATAATAAGTAAACTGTGGACATTTTTGGAAAATAAATATTGTCTGTATTCATTGCACGAGGCTTTCTTTAATTACTGTAGAGGAAACAATGCAATAGTATTTCTAAATTCTTTAGATGATTTACTCTTTTGCATTCGATCTACTCATTTTCGTCATCTCATAAGATCCGCGATCTATAATAAAAATAATATTAGTCCCGTTATAATGTAATTATATGATATAATATATGTCTCGTTATAAGGGACATACATTACCATACCAATCCATATAACTTTTAAATTTTAGTTCAGGTTTGTCTCTCTCAATAGAGCGATTTACCGAATTTAAAAGAAAATTTAGTGATTGCCAATCCCCATGTTTTCAATCTAAAAATGATCTGAAGAAAGAACTGTTTTTAATCAACGATAACAATCAAGACGAAACTATGGACTATTCGAGCGATGAATCTGTACAATCAATTTTAACAAGACAGTGTCGTTGGAACTTATTTGCCGATACTTCCGGTAGTGAATAAATATTAAATAGTGAAGTGCATATTTTTATTTTGATTAAAAGTTGAATAAAATTATTTTCCTCTTATATCTTTAAATGCGTATGTATTACTATTTTTGTATAAACCGCTACTTCGTCAGCTTCAAAAATCAGAAACTATGTGAAAATGTAAAATTTATCTTTACGCGTCATACGGGACTGTTTATCGCGCTGTATGAGTACTACGGTAATGTCTCCCTTACTGACGCTCAGATTGTCCACTAAATTTGATAATTTAGGAAGAGGATAATTTGAGGCTCGTTTTTATAATTGTGGACAATTCATGACTATAAAAATAAACCGCAAGGCTCGAATAATCGTATCTCCTCTTCCCAAATTGTCCATTTTTGTGCGCAATCTGGGCGTCAATTAGAGGGACATTACTGTAGTCGCAACTTCTTCGTCGCTTTACACATATGTCAGTCCACTGTACTGAAAAAGAAAGTATGCTTGCTCGAGTTTAGCGGCGATTGTCGAACTTCGTGTCCGGGAACCGACGGTAAAATCAATTTCATTGTCAAATTGGCCATGGAAAATGGTGTCGCGGGTAATCAGGGAAAAGACAAGACAAGAAGGAACCGAGTTTTCTTTATCGCTCGGCAGGGAAATCACATTACTGGGGCTGGAACTTCGAGAATCAATTCGATTCGAGAACGAACGGCTTGGCCACGGGGATGGCGAAGTCGAGCGGCCGTTTTCGCGCCCTCCCAAGCCTCTCGCGAGCACACACCAGCTTCGCGATGACTTATAGACTTTGTTTTACTTAATAATAAAGTTCCCCCGGATAAAGGTACAGTTGCAAGATAAATGGTACGCCAGCCGCCCATTGAAAAATGATAACCGAAGACTCTGCAGCGACACGCGCACAGCTATCGATTCTACGTCGCTAGAGTCGTGCCACGATCCTTTGATGATGCCGCGATCAACTCGCGAACCGATCGGTGTATCAACCCTTTGCACTCGAAGTTATTTTAATTGTAAATCTGTAACACTTTTTCTGACTTGTAGTATTTCCATTTCATGCGACAAAGCGCATTTTATGCGTATGATATTGACTCTTGCGATTCGTACAACAGTTACGCTGTTAACAATTTTTTTAATTTGAACTCTGACAATATTAAAATCATCTTGGAATGTGACATAACATTTTCATCGGTGCTCCGGGGTCACCGCTCGACTGCAAAGGGTTAATAAATGCGATCGTGACCAACGTAAATACACGATTTCAACGAAAGGGTTAGCGTGAGTATGGTTGCGATTTCGAAGCATTAACTTCGAAAATGTTATACTCGCGTTTGAACTTCGAATACATTTTACACGCATGATATTAATTTGTATTTAATATTATAAATGGAATTTGTAATGAAAATTGTGATAATTCATCGGGTTGCTTTCACTAATTCCGGAAGTAATTGTGACGATTTTCTTATTAGAATCGCTCGAAGTTACTGAAATGGACATCGCGAAACAATCAACAATAATTGGTACACATATTCGAATAATAATTTATCGAATTAGATAGAAAGAACATAGTTAAGTAACGTAAGTTGATTTTTTGAAATTGATCTAACAGATAGCCGACAAAAACTTATTGGTCGCATATCTTGTCATTATCAAATCGTGAGAATAAAATTAGGTTTCAGAATTAATATATTAAAAACACGCTTTTCACATATGAGCCGTTTATTTTGAAAGTGGCATAAGTCACTTTACCATAATGAAAAGTGATGATTTTTTAATGTTTATACGAAATTATTTAGACAGAGAAAAATATCAGTATCCTGAGATAACAAATACAAGCAAATCTTCTCGAAGGTTAGCATCCATATTTTTAAACGTGTTAAAACGCAAACCCTTAAATATATCGACTTAAAAACAAAGTGACTTATGCCACTTTCAAAATAAACGGCTCATATATATCTTTGAAACTAAATGACATAGATCAAAATAATAATTTAAATCGTGTGTTGAAAACTTGAAATTTCTATCACAAATTCTTTCGTCCATTGGTAATTTATTTTTACGAAAACTTGTACGCGTTTAGAAAGAAAAACTTGGTCTAAAACAATGTTTTCAAAGAATAAAGACATATAAATAAAAATCGGACATAATCAACGTGAAAATTCGAAACGTGGCGTAAAAAAGAAAGTTATAGTTTCATTTAGCAATTAATTTGCTTGCATGAATTCTTACGAACCCAGTAGACATCCCAATACTTACAGAGAATAAGGTATCGAAGGAAACGGCGATGGGGAATGAAAACGCACAGTCTGAAAAGAAGAATCTTAAGCATCGGTTTCCATACAAATAGTGACGTGATTAGAGTTCGAGAAATGCATACAGAACTGGACGCAGCTACTTATTACATAGTCGAGTACAGTTTCGAAGGATCGTTGGGAGCAACGCGACTGCATATTTCGAAGTGGAGGATTGTTATCGTGTGCTTCGGGGGGGGGGGGGGGGGGGGGGGGGGGGGGGGGGGGGGGGGATAACTTTCTTAATACAAGTTTTCAAGTACGCAAGTTAAGAAAATATTTCAAACGCTTCCGCCTCTTCTGCTAATATAAAAAGATGGTCCTTAAACATTTCCTTGATTCCGGAGCCGGAGAGAACTACGCGGGCATACCCGATAGAACTTCGAAGTTGCTTTCGAACCTCCACGTATATAATAAATGCTCTATATACACAAACCCCAGCATGACGTCGTCGTTTCTAAAATCCGCTATATCTACACCGGCTTACAAAGGTAAAAATCTATTTGCGACCACTTCACGGAAATGCATGGCTGCCCGACGAATATTATGGAAACTTATGCCGCGGCCGACTCCTTAATTTAACCTTAATTGGCTACGTATATCGATGCCCTGAATAAATACCAATCAAGTATCGAAGCCACGCGGCGTAGCACTGCAGAACTATAATATTTACACGGTTCGAAGGCACATATTTGGCGTCTACGATGATTTTCCGGTACATTGACTTTATTGCATAATAGCGAAACCTGACCACCGAACATCCACGAACCTGATTCGCTGAACATCCTTCTGATCTAGCAGTGTCGGCTTAACATGCCTAACTCATGCTTAACCCCTTGCACTGCGCCGAAACTCTGAAAAAGTCGTGCCAAACTTGCCCGCCGGAATATGTATAATTATAATATATAAAATAATTAAATATCCTAGTCAAACTCGTGATATCCATGTTTGGCATGGAATTGCAGCAACGAGTCAAACTCGTGATATCCATGTTTGGCACAAAATTGTAGCAACGAGTCAAACTCGTGATATTCAATTTTGGCACAAAATTGCAGCGACGAGTCAAACTCGTGATATTCATGTTTGGCACAAAATTGTAGCAACGAGTCAAACTCGTGATATTCAATTTTGGCAGAAAATTGCAGCAACGAGTCAAACTCGTGATATTCAATTTTGGCACAAAATTGCAGCAACGAGTCAAACTCGTGATATTCATGTTTGACATGAAATTGTAGCAACGAGTCCAATACGTGATATTCAATTTTGGCACAAAATTTTCATCACCGGTCAGACTCGTGAAAGTAGTGCAAGGGATAACAGTCACCGCTAAAAAGAATGAAATACAAATAGAGCAAAACTTTCGTTATACGCAGACCTTCTACAGTAATGTCTCCCTTACTGACGCTCAGATTGTCCACTAAAATGGATAATTTGGGAAGAGGAGATACGGTTATTCGAGCCTTGCGGCTCGTTTTTATAATTGTATTAAAATAAATAATTTATAACCATAAAAATAAACCGCAAGGCTCGAATAATCGTATCCCCTCTCCCCAAATTGTCCATTTTTGCGGTCAATCCGGGCGTCAGTTAGAGGGACATTACTGTATTCGATCGTTGAATGTAATTTATATTGCCGGACCCTTCTTCGATTCACAGCGAACCAATCTCAGCGTTCAGAAGCCTACACGAAATCCTGCTAAGCACGTGTTTCCCTTCGCCGACCCATGACGTCACGCTCATCGGTTATTTTCAGCGAGGTTGCACGAAAACAGAAGACTCCGATGCCTTTGTTCATTCCCGACGGGTCCCGCGCAACTACTTTCTACTCGTAGGCTTCTTCTTGATCGTCCCAGTGTTCGAGCTCCCATTGCTCGAGTCCACGCTCGTGATTTTCTCGGCGTCTTTCCTCTGCAGCATCGGAATGCTCGACTTCCCGTCGCCAGGTGCGCCCGCGTTCGAGAGTTTCCCGGGCACCGCCTCGACCCTCTGCACTATTTCCACTTTTTCCGCGTAAACGGAAGCGGCGAACCTGTCGGTGCCGCTCGCCGGGTCGTCCGAGCGCCTGGAAAACGACGGAATCCTCGTGACCTTCGGTTTCTCCTTCAGCGGCGGCTTCTCTCTCTGGTCCGACTGCCTCTCGCCGATCACCGGACACTGCGCTTCCGGCGACGGAATCGCCGAAACCTTCGGTATGTTCCTATGGTCCCTGGTTCTCTGCAGGCTGGACGTAGGCTTGATGATGATCTTCGGCTGTTTCAGATTCGAGGAGGAGCCCTTCGGCTCCCTGGGCGCGATTATGATCCGCGGCTCTTTCCGCTCCAGGTTGATCGCCCCCGAGATCCTGGGCTCCGCCGTTAAGCCGACGAACGACGCGTCGCTCTGCAGCCGTTCGGACGAGCAGCTCGTCTGACACTTGACCGCAGCGGCGATCATCGGCGCCGAGTCCGACAACGCGGCTGCCGCAAGCTCCTTGTCGATTCTGTCGTTCGAGGAGACGGTTCCCAGGTTCACGACCGTCTGGCTTAAGTTCTGATTCGCCTGACCCAGAAGATTACCCACTCTCGGAGTAATCACGATCCTCGGCTCCATCGCCGGGATCCTCGTCTCCCAATTCGAGCCGAATTGGACTTGATTAGTGGCTTCCTTGGCCGTGATCCGTGGCTCCGAGGAGGCGGTGGTCATCGAGGACTCGTTGCCCGGCAAAGACTTGTACCAATTCGGGTTCCCTATGCTCGGCTCGAGGAGGGCCGCCGGGGCGCCGATGTTCTTGTCCATGCTGTGCGAAATTGGCTGGCCCATTCCGTGAACGGGACACATGGGGTTCGAATAGATTGTATCGACGCTGCCGCCTGCCTGCGACCTGGAGGACCTTTCTATCCGATCATCGAGGGAATCGATGATGCTCGGGTCGGAATTGTTTTTCGTCGAGCCGTCCTGCCTCCTTAGCAAAGGGCCGACGTGCAGATTGGTCGTGACCGGCTCGATCTCGAACTGGGTCTCGTTCTCCTCCGCGAAATCAAGGCTCTTCGATGCGCCGAACATCCTCGGTGGCGGCAAGGGTGGCTGGTGGGAAGAGGAAGAAGGGTGGAGCCCGCCTCTGTAGTCGCGCAACGAATTGGCATGCTGCTTGGGCACGAATAGGCTACTGGGCGCCGGAAGGGATCGCCTTTTCTCGATGTCCGGAAGCACCTTCGGGTAGTTCCTGCGCTTGATCGTCCTCAGAGCTTCCTCGGGGCTGATGCATTCCCTTTCCGCTATCGGTTCTCTGCAGGTTACGTTTATGTCGCACTGCGGAGCGTTCACGGCGAACGTGGTCAGCTTCGGCCCCGCTTTCACGTAGACGTCGTCCGCCTCGTCCGCCGCCGACACCTCCCGATTCACGTCCAGCTCCGGACGCGGCAGCCTGCTCTTCAGCTTCGGGTTAATCTTCGCGTAGAGGCTGCTCGCGCTGCCGGAGTCCGACTCGTAAATCCTTGTCGTGGAGAAATTCGGTTTTACGTTCTTCAGGACGTTCTCCATCGGCAACGGGTCGCTCCGCGAGTGATGATGCTCGATCACGACCACCTGAGGAGCCGTCTGGAACTCGAACGACTCGACCACCGCCGGCTCGACCGACTTCGCCAGCTCGATCGGCACCTGATTCAAGATCGATTCGGTCCTGGTCGCTGGCGTCGCGTCCACCGCCACGGAGACCATCGGCAGCTTCGACTTCTTGCCAGGACGCACGATCAGCGCGGGGCTCTCGTCGTAAATCGGCTCGCCGCACTTCCTCTCCTTCAGGATGTCCTCCTCCGCGCGTTTCTTCTCGTCCTCCTGCTGTTTGGTCAGCTTGTCTTGGTGCTCCCGCTGCAAAGTTTCGCGGGTCTTGCGGAGGAACCTCGGCGAACACCTTTGGAAACACAGACGAATGGTCGGTTTAACGATCGTTTCGGAACGATCAGCGGAATCAGAGGGATTCCTTGGAACAAAGTCTTTGAATAATCGAGCATACGATCTCGCGTCGGATCAGCTAAAAAGTTACGGCTGCCCTACGGGGCTCCTCTCTATTCGATCGGGCTGGAAACTGGCGAGTTCGAGGGCGACGTGTCTTTAAGCGAAACCGCTAATTGAATTAGGGGACTGCTCGACAGCCAAGTTCGGCTTGCGATCGACGAACTCGAAAGGACTTCGCCGCGAATCTATGCAATTAGTAGCAGGGTTCGGGCGAACGGGGGAGCCTCAAAGCGATCGGGGAGACGAGGCGCGCGCGCGTTCGGGAACGGAATCTTTACAGACCTGTGCACGATCTCCTGCTGTATCCACTCCCGGACCTTGATGTGGGTGTCGATGGTGGAGCCGGAATTCTGTCTGGACAGTTTCGAACGTCTGCCGAAGTTCGAGTTGTTGTCGTACGCTTTGTCGTTCTTTATCACGTCGTTCAGATCCGGCTTGCTGTCGCTTTTGTAGCCGAGCTCGCCGTAATGGTTCTCGTATTTCTCGGATTTCGCGCGCTTCGTGTCCTCCTTCTGGCTGGCCCGTCTTTTCAGGCCGGCCTCCTTGCTCTTCAGGTCCTGTTTCTTGCAGTACAGGTAGAGGAACGCGGTGAAGTTTATCAGCAGGAAGACCACGCCGAGACCGGTCAGCATCGTGATCACCGATGAGCTCTTTGGCGTGTTAGGTTGAGATACCGTCTCATCGTCTGGCCGATCCGTGGAATTTGGCGTTACCGCTTTGTCGGCCGGGCCCTCTGTCGTGGCAGATGGTATTGGATGCGGTTCCTTTGACGGGTACCTTGAAGAGCGAAGGATCGAGTGTTGTAAAGTCGGACACTGTTGCTCGCAGTTACTGCGGGTGTCGCAGCAAGCGAGTACTACTGGCTTATAATATGTTAAACGATTTACGATTATTGGATTTCATCGTTATTGTTATTGGATTTCGTTTGTTAGTTGATTCTATAAAAGTGTTTCATTTTTAATTAAATCCGTAAAAG